TTCTGGTCTGCCTCAATGGGAGGTGAAAATGGTAGCCTCCATCTGTCTACAGGTTTCAGCCGTGAGCAGGGCAAGAGCCTTCACAGATAACAAATGTTGTTTACCGTACCTGCACGGCTGACCGTGGGCACAATGCCATTCACGCACGCATATGTTATAAATGCATGTTACACACTTTTAACCACATACACAAGACATCTAGAGACACACACATATTCAACATTACAATTTGCAAAGCAAGTTTGAATTTTCCACGTTGAAACTTTACAAGAGAAGGAGTTGCTCTGTGTACGTCTGCCCCCCCCCCCCCCCCCCAATCACGTATCTTATTTCACTAGGCTAGAGCTTGAGAAATATTCTGTAAAAAAGGAAGACAAACTACCACGCAATTTCACTTTGATCGCACTACTTCTGCCAGCAGCTTTGCGGGGATTGTTAGCAAGCAAAGTGTCGGAACGCAGGACAGAGGTATCAGCGCATGCCTGTGCAACACGCTGGGCTCCCAAAGCACAGGCCTAGATCCTGTCCTCTGCTACAGATGAAGTTCACAGAGGCCAGGGAATAAGGACTCCCTTCTTCCATCTGCCCTGAATGCAGCAGCGAGGCAGGATTCCAACCTAGCACTCAGGAGAGTGCCAAAAAAGGGACTGGCTACTGTGCTGGCTGCACCCGGCTCCAGGGGTGTGAGGCCTGCCAGCTGTGGGGTGGAGCCGTGCCCCCAGCCAGCTACAGCCTCGGCTTCTGTCGAGCCTGCTGGCTCTGCTCCTGTAACGATCGCTTTAAGAAAAGCAGTATTGTGCAGTTCATCACGCAGTGCAGGTGTTCACCTTCAACTATCCCTGCCCTTGTGCTGGCAGAGCAGCTCCTGCAACGCGCACAGCCTGCACCGGCCTGTCTTCCCCACGTCGCAAAGCACTGCACCTGTAGGATGCTCAGGTCAGCTTGATTCATGTTTAGGGAAGAAAAGCTTTCGCCTTAATACAGGGAGATCAGATTTTTAACCAACCTCCCTCTCACGCAAAGATGTGATACAACTGTGCAGACAAGGTGCCTCTGCCAAACCAAGACCAACCTCAGCACCTCTGACCTCATGGATGAAGAAAGGAACCTGGGGAAGAATCAAACATCTCTGCAGGTGAACAACAACAACAAGGATAGTTATTGTCAACAGAAAATTCAGCCCAAACAACCCCACTGCTTGTTCACACTGGAGTTACAGTCCCTGTTCAGATGGGGTAAATCTAGTCGGTAGCAGGGTACGGTCTGTGACCTCTTGTGATCGAGTGGGAGTAGACCCAGAAGGTGTCAGCGGC